AAGAATTATTTGAAGAATTTGAGAAAAAATCCGGAAATATTTTACTATATCTTTCAGCTGAATTAGTACTTGGATTAATGCTTAAATTTGTGTTGCTATTATTAGAATTTTTTGCTATATTTTGTTGTTGAGTTGGATACAAGTAATCACTATTAATAATGTCGCTGTTTCGATTTCGGTTGGAAGGGAGTGAAGAATGAGGTGAAGGGGAGGAATGATCATGGGATTTTTGAGACTGCGATAGGCGCTCAGCGCCAATATTATTAGCGTCATCTTCGTCATACATTTTGGTGGAATTGTGAGACATGGACCTTTTAGGTTTATGTCAGATAGCCGTAATAATTTAAAAAATTTTCTCGTTATTCGCTTTATTAACAAATAATGAGAAAATTTATTTTTTTTTTAAAATAATAAATTGAAAAATCAAAAAGAACTTACCAATAATAAAATTTGTCAAGCTCTAATTATGCTTTGAAAAAAAGTCTAAAATTATGAGACAAATGACATGTTTTAGATTAAATGATCACCGAATGGTGATGAAGAACCAAAATTTAATTAAATTAAATTTTTTTATTCATGAGAAACCTCAGGAAAACTGGTGACAATAAAATATTCTAAACATATTTATTAATCGGAAATTCTGTAATTACAATGAAAGATATTTTTGTTTCCCAAATAAAATTTTACTTTTTTTGGTGCAAATTTTGAATGTGAGTTTTGTACTCAAGTTACATGTACAATACATTGATATATACCATTATATATTTATTCTATATTTTCGGCTTACATAATAGGACAAAACGGCCGTTCACTCCTTTTTCTATAATCTTCCGAAAAAAGATTTGTACGCACATACTTACGTACTTATCAGTTATATACCAGATACGTACGTACGTAATGTAAATTACATTTGATCTTCAGAATTCTTAATTCGGTCCATCGGTCTATTCGGTCGGGTCTAACGTAAATAATAATAGATTAGTTTTAATTATGAAATCATGATTCGAATATAATATTGTAATATGTTTATTAAATAAAAAACATCATCTACGCCACGTTTTTTTTTTCAAAGTGACGAATGCTTTCTACTCATCTAAGTTTTCATCGTTTGTGCATTTGTGCACATTCCGCAATATTCTTAAATTCCCCAATTCGTCAAAACTAACCTTCCATATTGAGATTATGTTTAATGATAACGTTAACACCAATTATAATTGATTTCATGGCCAGATATTACGTATTATATTTATACATAATAAATCGAAATTTCAAAATATAATTATTCAAGCCAATAGATTGTCTTTTTTTAAAAAAAAAACTAAAAATTGAAAATTTTTATTTACTTGCGTAATGTAACCTTTTATCGACGATTAAAAATCATTTTCGGATTTTTTAAATGAAAAACTGTGTAATTTTAATTTCTATTCTGACATTTAAATAACTACACATCATTTCTATTTTATATACAAACTTGTTTGTTTTAACACTAATACTTACTTAATTCGTGTAATTTAAAGGATATATACGAACATCAAACTATTTATATTAACATTTCAATACGAATTTTGTATATGAAAGTGTTTGTAGTTACATAATTCTGTTTATATCGGCACTTTCTAAAAATAAAGAATTTGTTCATTATATTCAGATGTCAGTTTAACCAAAGGCATTCCATATTATGTAGATTGAAATTTTTTTAAAAAATGTCGTTATAATAGCAGCCGCAGTTATTCCCGTATGATATTACGAGGTTTCTTATTTTTGAGACATTAGCAGTTTCAGGTTGACAATTAGCAAAACCCCTTTTATTCCCCGTTACGATGGAATTACTTCGGATTTTTTCTCTTCGTTTCCTATCGGAGCCAAAAAAATTCGGGAAAATATTCATGATTTCCCACTTCGCGAGGTATATAGTAAAATAGTACAGTACGACATGTGTAAATCATGATAGTAAGTACGTACTATTGTTAAAAAAAAATTCTTTTGAATTAGATATTTCTTTTATACGCTCACCTAATCCTAACACGAAAAAGGACATTAATATAATTTTTTCCAACCATAACCCTATAATAATATATATATATGTCATAAGTAGAAACAGAATTTAAGTTGATTCAGGATTTTTTAAGGTTAGGATTGGGATTTTTAGTATAATTATTTCGTTCTAATCTAAGTGGATTCTGAAACTATTATGATTTCATTCCCACTTTCAACATACAGTATATATTTTATTGATTTATAGTCATACAGTATTATAAAGCAAGATACGTATAGAATTATAATAGTTTTATTAAATTATTATATATATATATATATATTTATATATATATATATATATATATATAAATGTTTAATATTATACGTATATAACTGCTATATTTTCAAAACCAAGTTAACTAATCAATATTTAATACTGTATTAAACAAAAATATTTAATACTTAAAAAAAAAAACCTATTACCAATTTTATTTTCATTCTATATAGTTTTTAATACCTAATTATAGACAGCAAAATTACTAAAAAAATATATAATACAATTATATATTATCGTATAGCCATCCATGTTATTGATGCTATACTAAAAATTTTCATATTTGTATAGTTACGTCATCACGATTTATCCTCATTTTTCTCTGGTCTTTTTAACAATCTATAAGAAATTTTAATCGAAATAAATAAATACATAGATATGCACGTAGCGTGATTTAATTTGATGACGTAATTACAAATAATGATATATATATATAAGTATAATCATCAATAACTGCTACAAATATAATACAGTTTAATATTAATTTTGATTACAAGATATTAAAAATTAAAAATATAGTATAATACTAGTAGCCTGTGACAAACCTAAATATTTATGTATCACTAATGAGTCATATGCCTAATAAATGGCCAATCAAATGCCTGGAAGCAGACACACACGATTTTAGTACGTAATATAAATTAGATAACAAATATATTTAAAAGGTTTATTAACTGTTAATATTAACTTCTTTTAATTACTTGTTTAAAATACTAAAAATATAGCTATATATATACAGCATATATATATTTATAAATTTTAATACTTAGATTAATACGTATATATTTTTTATAGTCACTAATTAAATTAATTACTGTAGTAAAAACTCATCAAATTTAAATAGCATATTTTAATGCATAATAAATGTTTTTAATACTTATTGACTAATAAAAAAAATTAAATATATAATAAATGTTATAGCCAGTGTTGGGCTCGCTTATAAGTCTAGTAAAATTGAACTGGAACTGGACTTATAAATAGTCCACTGGACTTATAAGTCCAGTAGTCCAGTTTATAAGTCCAGTAGAGCGGACTTTTGGTCCAGAGCCCAACACTGGTTATAGCTAAAGCTGGAAATTTACCTATTTTTATATGAAATTTTCAAAAAAATTTTAGGTCACTTTTTTTGGCTTTTTTTTAAATAGTTAGGTAGGGTTTATGATTAGTTTTTATAATACTGTAAAAGAGTATAAGTGGATTTTGGTAGGGCTTATATTTTAAATCGGGGTTCCTAATTTCCAGCTCAGCCGCGATAACGCGATAATAAAATTATCTGCGGGAAATGATTTGTCTTAAAATAAAACTTGTCTGTGAATAAATTAATCGTAGGTGAAATAAGGCGTCTACGAAGTAACTATTGATGATACAGATCCAATTAAAGGTTTTTTTTTAAAATAAAAATGTAGTTGGTCTTCACAAAAATTAGCAAGGCCTTAGTTAAAAAATTTATTACCGTACAAACGTGAAATAATGCCCACCTGCGCGTTATTCAAATACGTCATATTTGCTATTTTGAAATAAGATGATGTTCTAAATCCAACCCAGTCAACCTTCCATAAATGCACGTATGTTGGGTAAAAAAGTGCATTTATAGAATATTCATTTATGATAATATCAAATTTTATGCACTTAACATTATTGGGAAAGTGCACTTATACGTAGAGTGTGCACATACCGATATGTATATCATTTATCGCAACAATAAAACGTGTTACATTAGGATGCGTGAATTTGAGAGATCATGTAAGTAATTTTGAAGGTCTGCTTTCCAAAATAACGCCACAAGGGTTATTTCGCGTTTATACGGTATATGCTTAAAAAAAGCCGTGCGATCATGTCTCGTGGTATGAAAATATATGAAAATCACATTTACAGCATTTTAACGTAAACCTTAAAATTTACGCTAAGAATCAACCCCCAAACAATTTTATAGATAATTTGATAAGTGATTTGGAGCATCTTATCTTTTGAACTTAGATTAATAATAGGACCCCGAGCTATTAGTATATAGGTCAGGGAATTAGATGCGTAGCCAACTTAATAACTTTTTTAGATGTAAGATCTTAGATTACGTAAAAACTAGCAAAATTTTAAGAGGTTAGATTTTCAATTTGCGTATTCTTAACTAAGTTTAAAACATTTAGAGGTTGCAGGTGTATATTTTGGTACTGGTAGAGCATCGTCTACCATAGGATCATTTTAAAAAAATTGTTACACGGAATGATAAAAATTAGAACACGTCTAATTGTAAAATAATATTCGCGTATAAAGAATTTTCACAGTTTTTTATTTCGATCTTTTTTTTTAATTTTTTATCCTATTTTACTTTTTTTATTTTAATTATTTATTCGTTCTCTTTATTTTTTATTTTTACTGTCAGCAAGCAAAGATCTGGACTTGGAAGCTAAGTATATATATATTTGATTTAGTGATATTTCTGTATTTCCAGTACAGACTAATACAACCTTAAAGAACGAAATCTCAATAACTCCACATAATATCAACCATACATACTGCATGCTACCACAATAGCAAGTTCTGTGATAGGTCACGATATTTTCCAATACAACTAACTTAATTATATACTGTATGTTCTGTAACAGTAAATTATGTTGTCTTTTTCCAATACAAAATAACACAACCTTAACTCTTTTGTAATAGAATTTTTTTTACAATAATCCTAATATAACCTTAATCATATAAGGGAGGGGGAGGTATTATGACGCACCTAAGGGTTGCTCAAATAAAAATTTCCAGAAAAAATATATTTATTCTT